GCGCGCGCGCGCGCGCGCGCGCGCACCCCCCTCGCTTGTGGGGGGAAGGGGGCGGGGGAGTGTGTGCAATGGGGAGGCGTGTATGCATGTGTGTGCCTGTGTGCCACACGCTCGCATGCGCGCGTCTGATGGCGCGCGCGCGCGCTCCCCACGCTGAGGAAGACAAACAAAAAATCCCCCCACACGTCATTGCCCACTTTTCCATCCTCCTCTTGTACGTGGATGCTGACTGCGACCGCCCAAAACGATACCCCGCGACGTGACTCCGATGGTGTGTCATCGACGGCGCGCGTGCGCGTGTGGTCCATGATGTGTGTATGCCTGTGGTGTGTGTGTGTGTGTGGTGGCTCATGTACGTTTGCCCCACCTCCCCCCCCTGGTGTGCGTACACACTGACCAATCTCCCTCCCCCCCCGCCCCTCCCTCGCGCGTGCGCGCTCCCGTGTGCGTGCGTGCGTGTGTTGTGTGTGTGTGTGTGTTGGGTTGGGTCCTGGTCTCTGCGCTCCGTCGTCGTCGTCGTCGATCACACCCCCATCGGGTTCACCGTTGTGTTTCCCTCTCTCTTTCGTCTTGGTGTCTCCCCTCCCGTCGTCGTCTCCTCCTCTGTCCACGCCGCCATCGGCCGCCATGTGCGCGTGTCCCGCGAACGCGCGCGCCTTCTGGGTTCCTCACGCGCGCCGCTGTTGCCGCGCGGGGGGATGTTGCATGCTCCTCCCTCTCCTTGCCTTGCGTCATCCTCTGATTTGCCGCGCCGCCGTTGCCGCGCGCGTGCGTGCGTGTGATGTAACGTGCCCGTTCGTTCTTCCCCGCGTGTGAACCTGTCCGCCCGGCGCGCGTGCGCCTGGCCACGCGTGCGCGTGCGTGCGTGTGTGCGTGCGCACGCCCCTGCCGCGCCTGTTCACCGGTTTGTGTGCGCACCTGGGACCATGTGCGGATGCGTTGCTGCCCGGGGTGTGTATGTGTGTGTGTCTTTGAACGTGCACGCCACGAACCTCCCCGCTTCCCGCTCCTCGCCGCCCCTCTGGCCCTCCCATCTGCCCACCCGGTGCCGGCGTCTCCGGGGGTGTGTTTTTTCTGGTGGGACCCACGCGCGCGCATATGATGTGGATATGCATATATGTGCGCGTGTCGCGCCCCTCCATCCGTGCCTCGTACCACGCGTCCCGCGCCGCCTGTTTCTCCCCCCCCCCCCCCCCCCCCCCCTGCCCGCCCGTCGGACTGCCGGTTGTGCGTGTGCCGCGCGCGCCTGCGTATGCGCGCACCGCTCACCCCCCGCGCGGTGGTCCCCGGTCGGTGTGCAAACCCGTGTGCGGCGCCGCCGTGTGCGCGCATGTGTGTGTGTGTGCTCTCCTTCTCGGTGGTGTGCCCCACTCCTCCTTGCTCCCACACCCGGGCCGCGCCTGCCCTCCCCCTCTCTCGGACCGGACTTGGACCTTCGGACCGGACCTGTCTGCCCGGCTACTCCTGTTCGGGTTATGTGTGTTCCGTGCTTCGGTCTTCGCGACCACACGCGCCGCCCCACACACCCGTGCTTTTTCGCCGCCGCGCACGCATGTGCACGCGTGCGTGTGTACCATCCTCGGCGACACCGCGCGTCTCCCTCTCTCTGTGGATCTCTCTCCCCTGCGCACTGCTGCGCACCCCCCTCTCCGACACATCATCAATCGCCACACATACATGGATCGCGGCGTGATGGATCTTCTCTCAACCCCCTTCACCCCTCCCCCATACCCTCGCCCGCGTGTGTGCACTCGGTCTGTGCGCGTATGGTGGCCGTGTGTGTGTGTGTGTGTGCGTGTGTGTTGTGTGTCTGCGTGTGTGTGTGTGTGTGTATGTGCGCCGCTTGCGCCGCGTGTGCCCTCGTCACGCACGTGCGCGCTCGCGCACCCCTGGGACCGATTCCTCCGCTCCCTCGGGGGGACCCACTGGTGTGACGCGGTGTTGTCGCCCCGATGCGGCGCCACACACGTGCGCGCGCATTGTGTGTGCGCCTGCGTGCGTTGATGCCTGGTGTGGCGCCCTTGGTGTGTGTGTCTTTGCACGAACCCCCGCCCTTGGGAAATCCCCCTCTTCCGCGCCTTGTCCCACCCCCCGTCGTGTCTTCGTCCTCTGGCTCCCGCCCGGGGGGGTGACATTTGCCCCGCCGGCCCCTCCGCGCGCGCATATGTGTGTGCGTGTGCGTGTACGTGGGACCCCGCACTTCCGGCGCTCTCTCTTTCTCTGTCCTGCGCTGCGCGTCGGTCGCCGCTGTGCGCGTTCGCTCGGACCCACATGTGCCGCCGTGGCCGCGTGTGATCGTGTGTCTCAACGCTTCTCTCTACGGCATCGTCATCATCGCCATCATCGTCATCATCGTCATCGTGGTCTCGCCTACGCTACGACCTGTCCCCCTTCCACACACACACATCTCCCCTCCTCCCCCCACCGTGCATACTGCTCCGTCTTCCTCCTCCTCGCTGCCCCACACGCACACATTGCCCCGCCGTCCACATCACCCCCTGCGCCCGTCCCCCCCCCCCTCCCCATCGTCGACGTCACGTCTCTCCACCGTGTGTCCGTCTCCGCCCCTTTCTCGCGCCCCCTCCGTCACACGGCCACACCACACCCTATGGTGTGTCCCCATCATGGGTGTGTGCCTGTGTGTCCATCTGTGTGCCGGTCTGTGTGTGTGTGTGTGGTCTGGGGCTGTGCGGATGCGCGCACGCGTGTGTGCCTCTGTGTGTGTATCGTGTACTCCCACGCTTGGGCGGTGTACTATTCGAAAAGAGTATTTTTGAGTTTTTCCTCAGCCTCCCCCCAAACTACCGTACACTTTTCTCATCATGGCCAACCAGCAGCCCCAGAAGAACCAGCAGCAGCAGGCTTGCGCCCAAAAGGGCCAGCAGCAGCAGCAGGCCTGTGCCCAAAAGAACGCCGCCGCTTGCCCCCCGGGCCAGGCCCAGGCTCAGAAGGCCGGTGCTCAGTGCCCGCCGGGCGCCCACCTCCAGCAGCAGCAGCTGCCTAAGCAGCAGCAGGGTGCCGCTGCCCAGCAGCAGTTCCATGCTTCGGCTCAGCAGCAGCAGGGTGCCGCCGGCGCCCACTCGGCCGGTGCCCGGGTGAACGCCGCCGCCCCTGCTCACCAGCAGCAGCAGCAGCAGCGCGGCGCGGCCCAGGCCCAGCGTGGCCAGGCCATGTCTGCCCAGTCCGCTCAGCAGCAGCAGCCTGCCGCCCGGGCCCAGGCCCAGGCCCAGCAGCAGCAGCAGCAGCAGCAGCAGCACCAGCAGCGCTAAGCGGCGGCGAGGGGACATGAGTAACGCCTGTCTCTAGGCCTTCTCGCCCCCCTCCCCCCCCTCTGTGTGATGTCTCTCCCTCTCTCACACCCGCCGGCTTCCCCCTCGCCTTTTCCCTGGTCTCCCCGTGCTCTCTAGTGCGCGCGCACGCGCGTACACGGCACCGCCTGCCCCTATCCCCCCTCTCTCTATGATGGAAACGGGGCTCCGGTGATATACATACACACGCCAATGGTGGTGTGTGCATGTGTGTGCGTACGTGCCTGAGTGTGTCTGCCCAAAAGACGGATACGTTCACGGCTGAGCGCGTGACAGGGGGAAAGGCGTCGCCCCCCCTTCCAGCCACCCCCGGTCCTCGGCGGGTGGCAGGACGGCGGCATACACGCCCCCCGCGTCCGTGTGTGGGCAGAGAGACAGCTGCCTGTGTGTGGAGCACACTGTGTGTAAGCACGCATGCTCCCTGAGCGTGTGTGGACTGCGACCCCCCCCATATGGACGGCCCAGACCCAAACGCTGGCAGAGGACATCCGGCGTGAGTGTGTGTGTGTGTACGTACCCCCTGTCAGGGGGGATGCGCGCGCACCGCACACTCGTCGAACAGCGTCCCCTGCCCGCGCTGGCCCGTCTCTTCCCCCCCCCACATACCACTCTCTCTTCACATAACCCCCCATCTCCACAGAGTGTATCTGCCTGTGTGTGTGTGGCAAAACACCACCGTCCGACTTCCGCGTGCGTGCGTGTGTGTGTGTAGTACGCACCGTGAGGGGCGGCATGTCTGAGGATGTGTGTACGTGTGTGTGTGTGTGTGTGTGTGTGCGCGTGCGCGCATATGCTTGTGTGCGTGTGTAAACATACGTGCAGAGGCCTCTGCGTGTGCGCCGCCCCGCCCCCCCCCAGACCCCACACGCCCCACACTCCCCCGAGAATGCTCCTCCCCCCCACAGCCAACGTGCGTATCTCTACCCTCGCTCTCACGCATCCCACCCCCGGGGGACCGTGCGTGGCCCCCTCCTCTTTTGTCAGGTTGTTCTTCTCCCCCTCGCTCCTTGCGGGGGGTGGCGCAAGTCACGCGGGATCTTCCGTGTGCCCCCCTCGCGATATCCTCTCTCCCTCTCTCCCTCGCTCGGTGTCTCTTCTCCCCAAGCGCGCGTGTGTGTGCCAGGGGAAAAGCCCGAAAGGGAAGGAGCAGAGACGGCGCGGGGAACAACACGCACATGGCTTTCATGTGTCCCCCGTGTACTACGTGTACTACATGTAATGCGCCCCCCTCAAAAAAGGCCCAAGCCCCATCGGGGCGGAATAAACACCCACAGAAGATGGCCTTCACAGGCAGAACACAAAAACACACCTTGTTGTGTCTCCCTCTCCCTCCTCCTCCCTTCTGTCCTCTCTCCCCTCTCCCTCATCGGGAGAGAGAGGCAAACACCCTGCCCCCTCCCCTGCCTGGGGGGAGCAGCCAGAGCCAGTGCCGCCCTCTCTCTCTCTCTCTCTCTCTCTCTCTCTCTCTCTCTCCATGCGTTGGACCTGGGCAAGAGAGGGGACGCCTCAAAATGTCCCCTCTCCCCAGAGACAACGCAGAGAGACGCGCTCAGAGAAAGGCCTCTCCCCCCACTCCCCCCTTTCCCTGCTTCCTCTCTCCCCACAGGCATCTCTCCTTCCCCCCGGGGGAGGGGACAGCCAAAAAAAGAAAAAGGGATACCGTGGTGGTCCCCCCCTGCTTTTTCCCACTCTCCCCTCCTGCGGAAAAAGACAATTCCCCCCCCGACACACACAAGCGCGCAGGGATCAAAGTGCGCCCCTTTCCCCCCCATGCTCTGAGGAGGAAGGGAGAGCGAGCGATGCGGCGCGCGCCTCACTGTGCGCGAGAGCTGCCCGCTGCGCTTCCTCCCTCCCCCTCCGCAGGAGAAGAGGACCGCGCGCATGTGCTGCGCTGGCCCCAAAAAGCGGGAGGGCAATAAGGCTCGCCCGCCGCCCCCGCCCACCACACACATGTGGTGGTGCGATGGCCGGACAGCAGCTGGCGCGCGCAGGTGTCATAGAAGAGATATGCGCGCATGGGAGAACATATGCGCGCGTGCGTGCGCCTCGTCGCGCGCAACGACAGGCACCGACTTGTGCCGGCGGATCCGTGTGGGCCGGGGAGGGGGGAGGGTTCCCCCCCCCCCCCCCCGCCACACACCCCGCCGCGGGCATGCGAGACGGCACCCACGCACGCACGCACGAAACCACCTACGCCTGGGAGCATTAGTAAGACAACAAAAATAAAAAGCCCAAGCACGTTGAAAGCAAAGGGGACCAGGAAGAATAATGGTACAACACACCCACAGCATCACGGGAACCGGCCCCCTGCGTACCGGCGACGGATGCATGCCCATGCCGGAGAGAAGGAGCCCCTGGGGCCGCGGATCTTCCCCCCCGCTGCGGGGGCTTGGTGCGGGGGGGGGGGGGGGGGGGGGGGGCGGTGGGGGGGGGGGGGGGGGGGGGGGTCCCCCCCCCCCCCCCCCGCCATCACGCGCGCGCCGCCCTTTTTTCGGCCCCGTGTTGTGTCCTCGGTCTTTTGCTTCTCCGGTCTTTTTTCGGGCGAGAACATGTCGGCGGAAGCGCAGGGGCTCCCCTGAAAAGGGGACCGTGCGCGCGCCGCCGCCATGGGACGCGTGGCCTCTTTTTTTGCGCTCAGTCTGCCGGCTGAGAGATCCGCCCTTTTTTTTTTCGTGTCCAAGCGCGCATCCCCCTCCTTCCCTTTTCTTGCCTGGCCTTCTGGCCCTTTTCCCCTGCGTCGAGCCAAGACGCGCGGCGGCTCGTTGCACGCGCGCGCGTCATGACGGCGCGCACCCCCGTGTGGCCCATCTCATGCACAGCATCTTGTCCGAGAGTGTGTCCCCTCCCTTGTATAAAAAGGCGGGCGCCCGGAGAGAAGATGCGGGGCATGATGGCGCGTGCGCGCGTGTGTGTGTGTGTGCCCCATGCGCGTGCCATCCGAGTGACGCATGCGGCAGGATCGACCAAAAGGACAAAGGCGAGCCCGGCCGGGGCAAAAATGAGGCGCGGGGGAATGCTCTTTCAGTTCACGACGGGGGGATTCCCGATGCCGAGACCGTAAAACCCCCCATTGAAGGGGGAAAGAGGCCAGGGGTGGTGCACCCCCCCCCCCCCCCCCCCCCCCCGGAAGAGACGCGCGAGGCGAAGACGACGATAGGACCGCCGAAGAAGCAGGGGGGCAGCCGCGAGAGACACGCCCCCATACACACGTCTCCTGCATGTGCTCAGCAGCGTAGCAGCGAGCGCCAAGTGTATCGCGCCTCCCTCCCCCCTCTCTTCTCCCCCTTCACACATGCACACATGCGCCCAGCCCCCCCGCTCTCTCCTGGCCGTGTCGCTGCCTTCTGCGTGTCGGGCTCCCTTCGGAGGCCCGCGCGGCACATGCGCGCTCGCGTGCGCGCATGCTCAAAGAAGGCCGTGCCGGCGAAAAAAACGGAGAGGCGCGCTGCGGCGACAGTGTGTGTGTGTATCTGGACTGGAGAAAGAAAGCGGAGCGGGTGGCGGCGCACGCTCCCGCTCTTTCCTGTGAGAGCGCGCCCGGCCCCTCCGATGAGCGAGAAAGGTGTAGCATCCAGCGGCGCGCACACATCATATCATGTGTGCGCATGCGTGCATGTGCGTGTATGCGTGTCTCGCCCTCCCCGGTGGGTGGGGGCGTGTGCACGCAAGCAGAGCGCGCTCACCCGCGGACGACATATGCCGCGCACACACAGGTCGCGCGCGCGTGTGTGCGTATAGATAAGCCCTCCAAGAGGCGGCGCATTTTGCCCCTCCGTGTTTCGGTGCGTGCGCGCGCGCACATCCGCGAGCGCGAGAAAGCACGCGGGGTGTGTGCAAAGCGTGTGCGTGTGTGAGTCCCGACAGAGTGGGGCGGAAGAGGGGTCCGAGGTGACCCACGCATGTGCGTGCATGCCGAGAGAGCGTGCGGGGGGAGTGCGGAGTTTTCTCCGGCCAAGGGCGCCCGTGGGTGGCGGCAGCAGCGCGAATGAGCCTGCCCGACACTCCCTCGGCCGCCGCCGCCGGCGCGCGCCGCCCTGTCCCCCAGTGCGCACGCGCCTCCCTCCCTGCAACACTGTCTATGCATGCGCGCATGGGCGCGCGTAGGCCTCGCCTTTCTCTTCCCCCTCCCTCTCGCGCTTCATGCTGTTCACGCCGCGCCTGCCCCCGCCGCGCTGAGATCCCCGCCGCCGTGCACAAAATAGCGCGCACGCATTCGTTGGGGGGCGGGGCGCCCTCCTTCTTTGGTTGGCTTTTTTTGCGCGCGTGCGTGCATGCCTGTGCGCGTGCATTGATGTGTGTGAACCTGGGTACGTGCATGTGTGTATGCGCGTGTAGATATGTCGTGTATCTCGCGGGGACGGAAACAAAGCCCCCCTCCCCCGCAAGGGGGGTGTGCATCATCCCCACACACATGTGTGTGTGTGTGGAGCATCTCTCCCCTTGCGGGGGGATGTACACATGTCCCGCCCGCACGAGAATGCGCTCCCCCTCGTCTCCCCGGACACTGTCGCGCGCGCGCGCGCGCGGCTCCCGATCCCGGATCTCTCCCCTGCCGCCCCCCTCCCACTGTCCCCCTGTCCCATTGTGCCCCTCTCTTTGTGACTGTGGCTCGCGCGGATGTGCGCGCGGCCCCGTCCGCGTGTGTTCTGCCGCGCCGCGAGCCTGGGAAGGGGCAATGCATGTGTGCTCTCCTGCTTTGGCGACTGTGGGGGGAGAGAGGGCCGCCGCGCGCCCTGTGGCGGCTTCTCTTTCGCCCGGCGGGGACCCCTCCTCCCTCGCGCTCTCCCGCTGGTCGTCCTGGTGGGGGGCGTGTGCGCGCCCTCTCACGGCGGCGGTGTGCAACCCTTGACGCACCACGCGCATTGCGTAACGATATACCCCCCCTCCCTGCGTGGAGGTGTGTGTGTGTGTGCGTGTTTTGTACTCCCCCCTCGCTCGCCCCCTCGCCCATCGCGCCTGTGAGCGTGTGTGATGTATATAAGGCATGGTGCCCCCCCCCCTTGCCCTCCCGCCCGTGGAGAGGCTGGGGACATGGCTTGCTCTTGCGCCAGGCGCGACGGCCTCTCACCCCCCGCATGTGTGTGGTTGGGTAGATCCTCCCCCCCTCTGGCGGGGGAGCACAAAAGCAAGCTGGCGAGAGAGAGGGAAAGCCGGCGCCGCGGTATGTCTGCGCTCCCCTCCATCTCACCCCTCCTGTGGGGGATGATGTACGCAGCGCGCGCGTGCGCGCGAGGCATACGGGATACCCCTTCATATTCCGAAGCAGATCGCGGATGCGCGGTGCCTTCTCTCGGCACCGGACGCGCGTCCTGCCGGCCCTCTCCCGATCCTGGCCGCGCCGCCGCCGCCACCGCGCGCTCCCCCTTGTGTGTCCCCTTGACGCCGCGACCTCCACGGAAAAAATAAACTCACCAAAGAGGGAGGAAAGTTCCTCCCCTTTGTTTTTTAAGGGTGCTCCCGCTCTGTGCGCCTCATGTCCCGCCCACCGCGCCCCCCCTTGGGGGAAAGTAAAGCCCCGCCAGCAGAGACTCCATGCTTCGCCCCTCTTCGCGCCCTGGTTGCGCGCGCGCCTCCCGTCCCCCCCCCCCCCCCCCCCCCCCCCTCCTCGCCCTACATCTCTCGCTCCGCGTGCATATCTCACTGTCCCCCCTTATCACAGCAGCCCTGTGCCCATTCTCTAGGGCCAGATTGGTGTGAGGTATGGCGGAAGAGGGGGATGTACACGGGGGGAGAGACGGTCACACGCGCGGCCCACGAACAAGCACACCGATTGTGCGTGCTGTCGAGGGCGCGCGGGGAGATGCGCGCACGCGGGATAGGGACAACAAGAGACGGCCGCCGGCATGGGGGCGCACAGTGCCGCCCGCCGCCTCCCCTTGTGCGGCAAAAGGCTGGTTTTTGACCGCGCTCTCGCCTTCCCCCTCTTCCTCTTGATATCTCGGCGGACAGAAAGACCCCCCCCCCCCCCTCCCCGCGTCGCACGCTGGAGCGTCGCCCACCCGGAAATGCCCCTTTGAAAAAAGGGGGCATCCCCCCTGGGAGAAGAGGCATCAGCGTGCGCACCGTCGTCCGGGACTCCGGGAGGGGGGGGAGATGCTAATGCGAGTGTGCCATCTCATGTGCGTGCTCGCATGATGGTCTCCCAAGTGGGTGGCGCATTCGTCGGGGGAGAACACACTTCCCCGCGCGCACGCGGTAAAGTGCAGCAAAGAGCAGGGATAAGCCCATCAAGTGACTCCGTCTCGCGCCCCGTCCCCGCCCGCGCGCCCCCC